TATATACTTTTAAATAATATTTGACCTTGAAGTTTTACCAAAATATAAAAAATGTCATTCCAACTGCATATGCCTTGTTTTACTTTTTACCTATACTTCTCATTCCATTATTTGAGTACATCTATTTTTACAGTAATTTTCATACTTAAGTACAAGACATTTTAGATACTTTAAGACTTTAACTTAAGTAACATTTCAGTGACTTGGACTTTTACCAAAGAGGTACCTATACTTTTACCTGACTCTGAGATTTCAGTACTTTATACACGACTGCACACACTCTCCTCAGCCAAACCTTTCTGACTGTCTATTACCATATTTGGTTGTTGTCAGGCGCCAAGCCTTAATTAGTGTTATATTAAGAAATGTTGTTTTTGAATGTATATATTAGTGCATTAAGATTAGATTTTCCTGCCAAACCTGCCTCAATCAAACCAGAACAAGCTTGCTGGAAAACAGATTGTTTGCAACATTCCTCTTTGAGTTTCAGGACTGTTTCAGATGCTTGAAGAGAAAGGAGGAGGAGAGCTCCCATGATGTGTGGTTGGAACAAAGATAAAGCCATGCTGTGAGAGAAGTCTGCAGCATTTTAAGGACTGTTATCCAACATGTAGACTGCTGTGCTTTTGCTGCATTGGTCACTCCTCTGGATATTTTTCTAAAGTTAAACTCTGATCTCCAAACTTGCTGCAGCAGGAAATTTAAACCTGACTGTAGGAATGCGATTAACGTAGATATGCTGGTATAGAGGAGATCTGTTGAACATTTATGAATTCAATGAAAATCTGGCAGTTGTAGTTTTCAAAAGAGAAATAATGCTGAAAGAAGAAGAAATATATAGAAATAAGATTAAAAGTCAGAGGTAAAGATGGAGTCCACTGCATCTAAATGCTCATTTATTACCTGATCTGGTTTCATTGTTCTAACTAAACCTGTGATGGGAGGTGAGGTCATCTTTACAGGTGAAAGTAAAACAAAGTATTATTAGATTCACAGAGAGTCTGTTTGGGTTTCCTCATCTCATCCTTTACCCCCTGTGTCTCATATTTAAAATAAAATAATTGCCATCATGGCTTTGTCAAGCTGCTGCCTACGTTTGTGAAGCAGGAAAAAGACTAATGCAAGATGAATCCAGTAGAACTTTTTATTGCCTACCTGGAATGGATGACAACAGTTGAAGAAACTATACCCTGTTTGTTGGTACTCGCCGATACCGATACCACCATTTTAGAGCTGGATTGGGGGCCCGCCCAAAACTGGTATTTGTATCCGGTGTAATGCTACTTAGTATCAACCAGAGGACTGTCCATAAAAAAACAGCATAATACAGTACTTTACAGTGTTTTTATAATATAAATTCTGTGCACCTGGAGAATAAATAATCAGTATACAGCTATGGACATTTTTAGAGATGTGCAAAATGACAGCAGGTTGTTGGGAACAGTGGTGGTTCTAGAGCCTTCCAGCTGCTGGGAGGAAGGATCTGTGATAACGCTCCCTGGTGCATTTAGGGTGCAGCAGTCTGTCACTGAAGGAGCTCTCCAGTTTAGCACCAGCTTCATGCATGGGTGGGTGGGGGTGGGAGACATCATCCAACAGAGATGTTCATTTAGTTAGGATCAATTTGTTTCCCGCCTCCTGCACTGAGTCCAGAGGGCCTCCAATCACAGAGCTGGCCTTCCTAATGAGCTGATCCAGCCGCTTCCTCTCAGCTACAGATGAGCCACTGCTCCAACAGAGCAGTTTTATATTAGCAGCGGTTCATATTGTATGAAACCGCACTTAAAATATTCACCACTTACCTTTTGCAAGGAGCAGCCGACTTGCTTGGACTCGCAATGAATCATGGGATGCCATTGGACACCCTTCAAAATGGGCAAAAAGAATGCTGCATTTTTTGGCCGCATAAGAAGGAGTCTTTCATTTCGAACAGGCCTCGGCGCTACGCTATGACATAACGGGCTTATGAATCTAGCCTTCAGAGGACGCAGTCACCAGATCCAAACACAGTGTGCAGTCATCTAAATTTCATCTCTTAAACTAGGAGACCTGCTGTGCATCGAGGAGAGGCACAGATGCGATGATGAAACTTGATTGTTAAGGGTCGGTCGTAAAATACCTCCTTAACGACCGACCCTTAACAATCATAGACAGGTTTCAGGTATTACAGGAGACAATCCCCCCCTTAACAGCAATCCCCCCCTTTAATGACTGACCTTCAGAATCATAGACAGGTTTCAGACATTACAGGCTAACAATGGAACCAAACGACCCATTCATCGGTTACCATTTGCATGTTTCCAAGCGATACAAGGCTTTGTCTATATAAGACTCAAACTCACTGCAGATCCAGACATTTGAACTGAGAAAGCTTCCTGGAGAGGTGGAGAAACGTCTTCAAACCTTGGAAACCAAGTCCAGTGGATATTTTTTGAACTTTTACGGAATGTGTTACCTTTTTTCTATCGTCACATGTTCGTTGGAAAATGTGCCAGCAGTTATTGTTAAAGAGACAGCATAGAGTTTTCTAATGATACTGCCACCTGTGGTCAAAACACAGAGCTGCAACACCCTTCTACTGTCCTTGTAGCTCAGTGTCATACTTGACATAGCCACTGTGTGTGACACAGCCAATTCTTTTTCTCTTGCTGCTCTGCAGCTTAGTAGATGATGCTGCAGCTCCGTTTGGGTGCTTACCAGTCTTTCTTGTCCCTTAAAGTCAGTAACTGTGCTGTTTAACTCCTCTCTTATTGGTTGTTCTGCCTCCAATTCTGCCTCCTCTCTTCCTGATTGGCTGTTTTCTAGTCATTTTCAAAGTGGAAAAAAGTACTAATTCTACATTCATCAGAGCCGGCGACGCTTCAAACATTGATAAACAGCATCTAGTATGTGTAGTGCTTATAAGATTAGTATAAATGTAGCAAGAAATGCTGCTGTTCTCTTTAAATGAAATGCACCCTGATGCTCACATTAAGCATTAAAAAAGCATGCATATTTTTGCAAAGGTAAAATGACATTATTGAAACTGAGGACCAATAGTGTCGCTACCAAAGTGGAAATCAAACCTATTCCCTTGAGTCACATCCCCAGGCACAATGCGGGAACTTCCCAAAGTAAATTCAGAAAAATAGGTACATGCATATAGTTGCATTGCTGAACTACTGATGTGTCAGTCTGCCAATCAAACAATGCTTTAGTCATAAAAGGTAGAAGAAAATGGCTATTTTAAAGATATTTTTCATTAAATACTTACTTGATAACTCTTTAAGTAAAAAGAAATGTATTGTGACAATGATTTTCTCCTGCCTTTTCAGTCTAGGTGGACATCCATGTCTTGATAAATCCACAGGTTGGCCTTCCTCTCAATGTCCGGATGATGGATTGATCAGAACTCTGAAGATGTTCAAAGCTTGTATGTTGTTCTAGAACCCAACCCTACTTTAACGTTCTCCACAATGTTTTCCTGACCTGCTGCTGGGTTCGTTGGTCTCCATGATGCTGGTTGTTCTAGACTTTCATAATAGAAGGGATCTGGAAACAAAACCTGCTTCACATATTTATTGGTTAAATGTAAAATCTATAAATCGTCTTCCTTCCATCCCAGATCTGCACTACATTTTGTCATCTATCTCAGCTTTTGATAGCACAAGTATTTTTGGACACCATAGAACTGACATAAAACAGAACATGAAGCATTTACACGCACTAATTTAAATTTATAAATTTTTACAAGCATTTTTCTGAGACAATCAGATAAAAATGCATAAAATCGCATACATCATAGATACAGAATAAACAAGAATGCTAGAATCAACTCTTAGCTTTGCTTTTATTACACGAAGTGATCAAGTAGCTGGTTCTGCTGTCAGTTTCAGTCTCATTTTAAAATATCCAACATAGCAATGTGAGCGAAGCATAATCTGATTATTTAGTTATTATTTCATTACTTTAATGTTCTTTAGCAGTGGTTCATATATGCATGATATTCTCCAACAGCTTAGCATGTTTGTTAGATTGTCCCAATCATTAGACCTATTATTGGCTAGATCAGTGGTTCCCAAAGTGTGGGGCGCGCCCCCTAAATGGCCTGTCAATTTTACCGAAACCAAAAGGGGGGCCCAGAATGAAATCTTTGGGAACCACTGGGCTAGATGAAGTTCTGATTGGGTCCCTGACTTCGTAGGCCGGTCCAACCCCAGCTGAGGTCACTGCTCTGCATCTGAACACGTACTCTGTGTTTGGCTTCAGGTCTTCAACTTTGACTTCTCCTTCTTTTGGTCCATTTATCTGCTTCCATTCATTCTCTCCACAGACACAGACCTCCACAGAGTAGGAGGTGATGCTCTCTGCTCCAAACTTGGGAGGAGAAACCTTTAGAGTCACACTGCTGGAGGTAATGTCAGCTGATGTCAGGGTTTCAGGCTTTGAAGGAGGCTCAAAGTTCTCGTTGACAAGGAAGCCGTCTTTATAGAGGTAGATGGTTGAACCTTCATGCTTATCATCTGTTAAGCCAACTGACAGGAAATTAATCTGCTGGTTGCCCTTGTTGGCCTCTGCAAAATCACTGAAGAGTTTTGCTTTTTTCCACATATTTTCTATTATCTGTCTTGAGGAGAACCATTGTTGCTTCTCTATATCATAGGTTTGTTTATGATCAGCCTCATCTTCTGGGTTTGGTTTTCGGGTTTTAAAGAAATCAGACAGAAATGTTTCATCATTTCCCAGTGAAGTAAAGACATAGCAAGCGGTATGATCTGTCCCCAAGTCATCGTAAATATGACTGTGAGACGTGAGGAGCTTTGTATTTTTCATCTTGCTGCTCAAAGCATTTAGGATGTAGATTTCTTTCTCTTTCCAGTCCATCCACTGGTTCAAGCTTTTGTTGTTGAAAGGAGAAGAATGAATCTCCCTCATGATCTCTGCCAGACCAGCTTCTGTTTCTTTTCCTCCTCGGATTGAAGGAAGTTTCTTTGCCAGCTCCTTTTGAAATTCCAACTTGACCTCTGAGCACATTTCTTTGAAGAGCTTCAGTTTTTGACCAATCTGTGGAAACTTTTCAGCAATAGCTCTCAGTGCATCATTGCACCTGACTTCCAGCTGTTTGAAGTCCTCCAGCAGCCGCTGGGCTTCTTGAACTAACCCTACACTTATCTCACTGACCAGTTTAGCAGCTTCAGGATTAAACGCCGTAAGAGGCAACATCCACACTTTCGTTGGGACTGCATTTTCTCCGTTTTCTCCCAGTAATTTTGGCAGGTTTTGATAGACCTGAATGGCATCTTGAAAGGTTGTAGGAGTTTCTTTAAGGACAAAGTCTCCATAAAACTTGCAGGTGAATTTTTCAGCACTTTTTATTTCTTTGTTTGTCCTTTTACCAGATCCTTCAGCCTCTCCTTGAACTTTTGGTACATTTGAAAGAGCAAGTTTAAACTCGCCCTGAACTTCGTTAATGTTTTCCTCTTTAGAAACATCACGTTCGAAGACAAAAAAAGCCTGGCCTCCATAAAGAATAGCCGTGACCACATGCGTTGCTAGATCCTTCCTAAAAATGTCTGAATGCTTTAAATTTTCTCCACCAAGATGATCCATAGAAAGCTCTCGGATTTCTGTGGTTGCGAAATACGACAGCGTTACTCTGGCCTGTTGTGTGGAGGTCATTTCATCGTTTAGATATTTGGCAGCTCCTGCAATTTCGAGGGTTCCAGCCATGACACTTAACTTCACTGATCCTTTAATTTCTAGAGATGAATATTTTGCCTCAGTTGATTCAGAGGTGCTTATGGAAAAGTTGTTGAAGTTTTGTGGCCTTTGTTTTATGTGCTGTTGAAGGTCGTCATGGTTCCACAGTGTTATCCCTGGAAGCAAAGCAAAAATGTAAGTTCAGCTCACTGAGCTTAGCCTAATACTTTTAAATAGAATAAAAATGCTGTTAAACACTAAAAGAAGAAGGAAATAATTCACCCTTCTTGACTCAACAGTTGTGAAGATACTTCTGTTATATACAGTTTATGCTAGAGATGCTCTGATCAGGATTTTTGGCGTTAATCCCAATACAATCACCCTCTGGGTGATTGTATTGGGATTAACGCGACTGGCTGTCACGACTGGCTGTTAATTTTTTGATTTAGGTATAAATGCTACAACTAGCTATTAGATCTGGCTAAATTGAATCATAAAATCCTCTAATTGAGACAAAACTCCTGAAAAAGGATGTATTATAAACCTGCTGACAGTTTCATTTTAACAGATTGAAAACAGTTATATGGATTAAACTGTTTTCATATGAGTTACAACACAGATTTCTGCATCAATTTAGGACACAGCAAAAGTTTCAAACCAACATTATGTAACTTTTCAAACTTCATGAAATATTTTAATAACTTTTTAATTACATGTTAACTTACAACGAGTTGAATGACCCCCCTGTCTTGGCCCAACAGGGTCTTTATCGCTTTCACCTGTGCTAATCAAGGGGAGTTAGGGGAGTGCGGCGGTAATACTGCCATACAAAACTACAAATCTGCTTTACGGCAGATGTCACTTCCCCCTTTCCCTGTTCTTTATAAAGATGGAAGTCTATGCGAGCGCTTATGCATCACTACTGCTAACATGGTAGAAGCTCCAAAACAAAGAAAGAAACAATTTTTTTTTGTCTGAAGAGAGAAAACAAAAAGACAAATGGAAGATACCCAGAGAAAAGGACATTCAAGGATGAAAGCACTTTAAAACACACCTTTTCTCTCTTGCCTACCCTTCCTAACCCCCTCCCTGTCCCTACCCCCCCCTTACTTCACCTCTTGTAAAGCGACCTTGGGTGTCCTGAAAGGCGCTATATAAATCAAAGTTATTATTATTATTAAGGATCAACATTGGCCTGGCTTTTACTCGTTGGCATGTCGGGCGGGGGTGGTGTGGGTGTAGAAATGTGGTACAAAACTAAAGTTATACCTTTGTTATTTTGAACATTATTAAAGTAATGGTTTTGCCACAATTAGATTAATTACCTCATTACTCATCTTTCACAAAGCCACTGGAAACAGACATGTAGTTCAATCCAACTGCAGGAGACCAGGAGATCAGGATTTTACAATGCTGTTATGGACTGGTCCTCATGGGAAATGTGGCCTTCCTTCAGGATAAAGAATAAATGCCTTTGTCCATAGGGCAGAGCCAAAGTTGACAAAAATGGAAAGTTTTGCAGAAATGCAAAAACGTAAAAAAAAAAAACATTGGACTTTGTTTCCAAGTTTAAAGACGTTTTGCTTTCCATCCAGGAAGCTTTTTCAATTCAAAATGTAAGGAATAGCGCTGAGTTCAAAGCTGAAAACATGTAAACTGAGTTGGAGGAACGGGTCCACCCTTTTGGCTTCTTTTGGTGGCTTGATTTTGATGTTCGGCTGATCAGGTCCAAATGGTTTCACCTCCAGCTTCTCTTGGTAAGTTTGCTTTAAGGGATTTCACTTCCTGTCCATTAGCCGCACCATGACTGTGATGACCGTTCCTGACACCTCGGGGTGCAGCTTTCCTGTGCCCAGAGCTCTCCTATCGTTTTGCATTGCGGATGAGCTACTGCACGTGGACAACTTTTAATGAGGCTATGGCCAAAGTTTTTTGCTCCCCAAGGCGGACATTCGTCACCAATCCGAGGACGAACGAAACAGCTTTACTCGTCAAATAACATTCAATATTTATCTGGCACATCTAAAAATATATCACTATATTTCAAAATATTTCCATTCTATTTTTATTTATTTTTTAAGTGTCTTATGTAAAGTACATTGGGTGGGTGGGCAGTGCCCTAGCACGCTCTATTGGCCAGTTGCCAGTGCACCGGTCTTTTCTGATCTAACAACTTGAAACAAATTTGTTTACATTCCATAAATGTGAAGCAGCATTGGTGAGACGGATTCGGACGGATAAAAGTCTGAAACAATAAAACACACTTACTACGGCTTCATTCGATGTTGCTCTTCATTGTTTACTTTCTTGATTTCTGTCAAACTGGTGACATCTTCAATGCTAACCCAGTGTGATGGTGTCACCAGATACACAGCGGTCAAGGGGTCTCTGATTTAAAGTTGCCTACTGACACATAGAAGTCCCTGTCCTTCGAGAAGGATTTAAACCAGTCCAGTGCAGAACCAGAAAGGCCAACCCAGTTTTCCAGATACTCTTATAAAATCATGGGATTAACCATGTCAAACGCTGCACTGCAGTCCGACGATACCAGCACTGTGGTTCTTTTGCAGTCTGAATTTATGCAATGTCATTGAAACACCTTAATCAAGGCAGTCTCTGTACTGAGGTTGGCACAGAAACCTGACAGGAAGACATCAAAGCAGCTGGTCATTGTTAAAGGTACTGTATTGTGGAGGATGTTCTTTTTCCTGGTGGATCATCAAAATAAGTGGTCCTCCTAATTGTCAAACATTCTTGTGATGTGTTTACGTAGGGCCGTCCTATGCTCTCATTTTCATAGTAGTAGCTAGTACAGTAGCAGCCATTCAAAATGGCCCTTTCCAGTCAAACTCCAGCTGAATGGAAGTCCACTTCCTTGCAACTCCAAGCATAATCCCCTCCAACTTCCAGCACCTGGAATGAACTCCTCCTTCTCCTGGGCGTGCATATTTTTTTTAACTCTGACTCCATCCTTTTACTGAATTACAGGGTCTGACCAGGAGATGACGCTTTTCTTTAGAACTCAATGTCCACAATTCATGACAGAATATTTTAGTACAAAGATTGACGTTTAAATAGGAATTGTAGGGGACCAGCCAAGGGCCCATCAAGGAAAGTGGGGAAATTTTGAATGGCTACTACTGTATGAGCGATGCTGTTAGGGTTCTGTTTGTGGGGAATGTTTTAGTGTTTTCTTTTTAGTTTCTCCTTCCACCCACTAGATGATGCCCTTTCCCCTGTTTGGCCTGGAGGCCTCTTCCAGTTTCCCCCACACCTGCGGCTCGTTGGGCCATCACCAGAGGAGTATTTGAGCAGTGGACTGTCACCACCTTGACGCCAGAGTGTTTGCCATTATTGGGTACTCTAGCCTCAGTGAGATTAGCTGAGTCTAACCATTGAGTCTTTGTCTCTCTGAGTCTAAGGTTTTTTTTCCCTTTTCTCCTTTGTGTTCTCTGGCAAAAAAACCCTTTGATCCGCAGGATAAGCCTGGTCCTTCAACCCTTGGAAGGAATTATTCGTCTCTCACTGAGCAAGGGGAAACCTTCACCTGATCCGCTCAAGCCCACCTCAAGAAAATCTGTGACAGTCCGCTCCGCAGCTCCTGTGGACCCACCATTAGTCTGCCTGTCCACCCTCCAACTAGTAACCATCATCTCTGGATAATTCCCCCACAAACTGGACCCAAGGAACAACAAAGAAACTTTCTATGTGAGTCAAAACTGTACCATTCACCTCCTTTGATCAATTTCCCTACGTACCTTGAACTCATATCTCCCCCCTAGAGTTTCCAGTTCCGGTTCACCAGGCCGCTGGATATCCCTAACTGAGAATTACCTGTTTTCTCTATCTTTCTCTGAGTTTTTGTAAACCTAACCAACAACTGTTAACTTTTTCTGTGCCACAGAGTGGTTTTCTGCATGTAGGTTAGATCTTTGAAACCCATCATGACAGATGCAAACAGGCTGCAGAAACGGAGCGTGCACGAGGAGAACTGGGCTCATGCACGCTCTCGCATGTTTAACAGGCGTTACCTCTCGGGAGCGGGTACAGGTTTCTGCATGTGCAATTTGTTTTTTAAGTGGAGAGGGTGCATCTCTTCAAAAATTCTCCACTATACCTTCAAGAATTCATTTTACTGTTGAAATACAACTTTTCCAAAAAAATTACAGAAAAATGGGAGGTTTAAAATGGGTCTGTAGTTCTGCAGGAATAATATGTCCAAAGTTCTCTTCTTCAACATTGATTTGATCATTTTTGTTTTTAAGGCCTGGAGGGAAAAATCCAAAATAAGGGATGTTTTTATGATTTGTCTCAAATTGGCTTCCAAACCAGGTAAAACCTTCTTAATGGAACCCGTGGGTAAAACATCAAGATAGCAGAGAGAGGAGCATAGCTGCTGAACAGTTTCTTTTAAACTTTGCATTTTGTTTGGTAGAATTGGGAGATTTTAAGTTGACAAACATACTGATTTTCGGAGCCCTTTTATTCTCTCACTAAGAAAAAAACTTAGCAGTCATTGCAGGCAGTTTGAGATTGGATTTCATTGGCCTCAGGGATAGGACGGTTAGTTAACCTGTGTAGTGTGGCAAATAAGGTGCAGGCATTGTTTATGTCTTTGTAGATAATCTCAGAGAAGAAAGATTCTCTTGCATGTTTTAGTTGTATAACCAAGAATAATCCTTGGTTTCAGTTGACAAACCTCTATAAATTCAAAGCTCTGTAGAACCCTCAGTTCACCAGCTCTCAGCAGCAATTATTTTATGGGATTCTTCTTAAATAAAACTGATTAAATTTCTTCTTCTTACCTGGCACAAGTAAGTCAGAGCGGCTGTCGTAGAGCATCCCAAGGCCAAAAGGCCGACCGAGTGCCGGCACGTCCATCGCGCTGCCAGATTCACTAGCCATATTTCAATCCAACCTATAGATAGCAAATAATAATGTGAGTCAGTTGTTTTAATCTTTCTAGCATTTTATGTTTTATTGTCTTAATAATCACCATAATTATCCAGCAAATTTTTTTAATTAAAAGAAGGGAAATCCAGTTTGTTATGGGATGCAAATTGGCATTAAAAAGTGGGAGAAAACTCATGTGTGTTTTTGTGCTGAAGATATATCAGATTTATTTTCATAATTTAAGAGTGTTCACAGCAAAAGCAGCAGCTAGATTAATAGGGGGCTTTAAAAACAACCATGATTAATGAATCCAATTGAAAAACTGTTTGTTTGCTAAAATGAGTGTCCAAAACCCATCTGTCTTTTAAAGGATAAAGAATCAAATCTTTCATTGATGATTAAAATGCTGTAGTAGTTCTATAGAGATGCAAGGATGCATGTTTCTCCATTAGGATGAAATCCCATTTACTTTATTGATCACAACAGTGTAAAGGAAAGCTCTGTGTTCACACCTTGAAGCTTTCGCTCTCCGGTTCTTTTCCTGATAAGAGATCACTAGAGACAGACTAATTAACACTTCATAATGTATATGTATCAAATAACCAGGAGACATGAAAACA